CTCTCTCTCTACCCTCTCTCTGTGTCTTTGTTTCTCTCTTTACCTCTCTTTCTCTTTGTCTCTGTTTCTGGGTGTCTGTCTCCCCTCCTCTCCTTCCTCTCTATCTCTCCTCCCTCTCTCTGTGTATCTGTCAGTTTCTGTCTCTCTTTATCTCTGTCTCTCCTTCCTTCCTCTCTCTGTCTCTGTCTTTCTGTCTGCCTCTTTGCCTCTCTATCTCTACCCACCTTCATTTCTGTCCCTCTCTTTCCCATCCCACCCCCAGGTTGTGTGACTTTTCTTTATAAAAAATATTATTAACTATATTTCTGAATAATTGGTTTCCTTTGTGATTCTCTGCATTTTATTTATTCATTTAAAACATCATTCTGAGAAACAGCCCATAGGCTGTAGAGGTGTGCTGGTAAATGTTTAATGAAGGGCTCTGTGGGGAAAACAAACTGTATATAGACATATTTTAATATGCATTGTTACCATTTTCTTTGTCACTTTCTTAAATCTAGACTCTAGACAATTAGCAAATTAACAAATCAAGTTCTGGTTTTTCGTGTTTACTGATTTGCCAAGGTGCAAATACTCTCATTGAAAATTTAACAATTGGCTCCTGGTCTGAGCCAGCGCCATCATGCGCCTGGCTTCACCAGAGCATGCGAAAGGGAACCATGACTCTGAAATGGATAGGACTCTGCTGCATCCAGGGATTCTCTCCCATCCCTTTGATGATGGGCAGTGTAACCTGTCAGAGGACCGGTCACATCAGGGCTACACTATTCTGGAGAACCTCGCTAGCTGGAAGTCATCTGTGAGTGTTTGCCCTTCTGTTCTCCCCTGCCTCCCACCCCATGTGGCATGGCTCCATGTGGGGAGTCTCCACTTGAGGTGGATTACAAGCTGTTGAAGCTACTTTGGTCATAAAGAACCTCCAAAGACTGGGCTGTGATTATTCTGTGGTGGGGTAAGGGATGGGCAGTCGCACCCTCTGAGACCTGGGGTTCTCTTGGGCCTGCCTGGGCCAGGGGTTGCAGGACCCGGGGGTCAGAGGTCGCAAGACTCTAGTGCCTGGCACAGTCCACTTGCACATAAGGGTCATCAAATATGAGTAAATGTCCAAATCTGTCTGACCGATGGTTGGTCTACCATTTTTATGTTCTTTTTTGTAGGACAGTGCCAATAATGGAGGAAGTTAGGTTGTGAATCCACTGAGATGCCAGACATACACAGCAGAGGAATGCATTTTAGTGGGAGAGACTACATGTAAGTAACTGAGTGTGTATGTGTGTGTGTGTGTGCATGTGTGTGTGTGTGTGTCTATGTGTGCATGTGTAACATATGAGGCAAATTAGATAATCTCAAAGGAGATACTGGTCAAAGGGGAGAAGCTGTGGAGAGAGGTGGATAAGGAAAGACTTCCTAGGGAAGGTGGGGTTTGAGAGAAGTCTAGAAGGAAGCCTGGGAAGCCAGGAAGTGCAGGGGAGGAGAGAAAGAATTCCAGGCATGAGGACCAGACAGTCTGGTGGAGAGATGGAGCTTCTTCTGTGAGACCTAGAAGGAGGTTGTGGCATGATCCTAGAGCACATATGTGAGCAGAAGGGCAATGTAAGAAGACTGGAAGGGAGGAAGGAGTTTGAACACCAAGCAGAGCACTTTGCATTTGATTCTTGAGGGGACTGGAAGCTCCTGGGGTTTATTGAATGAGGTTGGGGAAGGGGAGTAACAGGTTCAGACCTGCCAGCTTCTAGCCCAGTCCCCACAGCCATCATTGAGGACAGAAATCATTGTGGAGAGGGGGCCCACCTTTCCCTCTCTTTTCTAAAAATAATATTTTTTTCCCAATTGCATGTAAAGATTATTTTTGACATTTGTTTTTAAAAATTTTGAGTTCCAAATTCACTGCTCCCCTCACCTCCTCCCTCCCTGAGACAGTAAACAATTTGATAGAGGTTACACATGTTCAATCACGCAAAACATATTAGTCATATTGTGAAAGAAGACACAGACCTGAAGGGGGGGGAAACACACACAAAAAATGAAAAATAGCATGCTTCGATCTGCATTCAGATTCCATCAGTTCTGTCTCTGCAAGTGGGTGGCATTCTCCATCACGAGTCCTTTGGAAATACCTTGGATCATTGTATTGCTGACAATAGTGAAGTCATTCATAGCTGATTGTCCCACAATGTTGCTGTTACTGTGTACAATGTTCTGTGGTTCTGCTCACTTCAGTCAGCATCAGTTCATGTAAGTCTTTCCAGGTTTTTCTGAAATCTGCCTGCTCATCATTTCTTATCATACAAGAGTATTCTATCCCAATTATATACTACAACTTGTTCAGCCATTCCCCAATTGATAGGCATCCCATCAATTTCCAATTCTTTGTCACTACAAAGTGAGTTGCTATAAATATTTTTGTGCAAATAAGTCCTTTTCCTTTTTTTTAACCTTTATGGGATATAGATCTAGCAGTTGTGTTGCTGGGCCAAAGTGTATGCACAGTTTTATAGCCTTTTGGGTAGTTCCAAATTACTCTACAGAATGGTTGGATCAGTTCACAACTCCACCAACAATGCATTAGTGTTCCAATTTTCCCACATTCCCTCCAACATTTTTCATTTTCCTTTTCTGCCATATTAGCCATTTTGATAGGTGTGAGGTGGTACCTCAGCTGTTTAAATGCATTTCTCTAATTAATAGTGATATAGAACTTTTTTTCATAGAACTATAGATAGTTTTGATTTCTTTGCCTGAAAAGCGAGGCCCACTTTTCTCATCATGACTAGTAGCAACCACTGACCAGCTGCATGTAGCTGACCGGTGGGCACAGAGGCCCTGGGAGTGGCACCCCCAAAACACAAAGGACCCATAGCTTAGGGTATTGGAGACCAGAAAGGAAAGTTTTGGTCACCAGTCCTTGACCTAGTCAGATGCTTCAATATCAGAAACTGATAAAATTTTAGCAGTGGAAATGACATGAAATCTGAGGCATCATCACTGTCTACCTTCCTATGTACCCTAAAGAGCAGGGTGCCTTTAATTTGACTTGTAGCTAAAACCTTTCCTGGGTACTGTCTCCTCATTAGAATGTCAGCTTCTGGAGAGCCTGGACTGTCTTAATTTTCTGTGATGCTTGCAAAGGGCTTTGTACATGATGAGCACTTAATACATGTTTTTTAATTCATTCATGCATTCATTAGTTCATTCATTCATTCATTCATGCATTCATTCATTCATTCATTCATTCATTCATTCATTCATTTGTTTGTTCATTTGTTCGTTCTGTCCATGAACCTATGATGAAGAAGCTGGGGTCTGGAGAAGTTAATTAGTATCCTGCATATTAACTCACTAATGAGGAACTTGGGCAGCTCTGGTGGGGCAGTGGGGGGAGCCCTGGGCCTGGAGTCAGATCCAGGCTCAGATCCCAGTCCTTTACCTCTATCTGCCTCCATTTTCTTACCTGCAAAATGGAGATAATGAAGGCACCTCCCTCCCACGATGATTGTGAGATTCAAATGAGAGCACACCCCAAAGAAACTTTGCAAACCTTCAAGTTCTGCTAGCTACTATTGCCAATAATAATAATCCATGGAAGGCTGAGGGTCTCCTGGTTCCGAGGTCAGTGTGCTTTCCAGTATGCTATGTGGCCTCTTGAATTCAGCTCCTTGAGGACAGCTGGTACATTTTTGGCTCCCAGTGACCAAGGGTAGCCCCTAGAATCAAGTTAGTCAGCTTTTCATAGCTTTAGTGCTTTGGAACTAGCACAGACGTACCCGGAGTCCATGTGAGGTACAACCTGGCTCTGGTGGTGGAGAGAGAGCACAGGAGCTTACTGGCTTCTGGCACAACCCGGGTATGCATGGAATCCTGTGTTCCTGGGGGAAGGTCAGCCTGGTGAACGTGTATGTGGTAATGCTGATGACAAACATGAGAATTATTCCAATGATGGCAATGGTAATGGGGCATTGACTCCTACTGCTCCCCACATAGGAAACACCTTTTCATGGCCTCCTCACTCTCTCAATCATTTAAAGGCCAGCTTTCTCCAGGAAGCCTTCCGGGTAGCAACCTGTCTCCTCTGGTTCCACAGAGTACATCTGCTGCCTCCTTCCAATGGTGTGCTGTAGTCACGTTAGTTACATATGTGTGTGTATATGCAAGCCATTTATGGTAGAGTTTTTTAAACTTTCAGGGAATTTAAAAATTACATTTTGATAACTATTTCAATGTAATTCTTTCTCTCTGTAATTCTACATATTTTTAATGCATTTAAAAACATGAGGCTAGAAAGGAATCCAAAGGTTTCACTCAATTATCAAAGGGGTCCATGACAAAAAACATTAAGAACCTTGCTCTATGAGACTCTCAGCTTCATGAAGGACTATTTTCTCTAAACACTAAATCTCTCCCCATTACAAACTTTGCATAGAAAGTTTGCATAGAAACCATAGTTTAAAAAGAATTATTGGGTGGATGGATAGGTGAGCAGATGGGTGGGTAGATGGGTAAATAGATGAATGGATGGAAGGGTGGGTGGGTGAATGAATAGGTAGATGGATAGATGGGTAAATGGGTGGGTAGGTAGAAGGATGGATGGATGGATAGGTGGGTGGGCAGATCAATGGATATGGGTGAGCATGGGCAAATTTAGGTGTTACTGAGTGATCTTAAGTGCCACTCGGATAAAACTTACCTTCCTCTTCTCTTTCTAGCCTTTGCCTACCTTGGAGGCAAGCAGTGGGGTAAGGTGGGCATCATCATTCTGACAAATTCAAGGAGAGAGCCAGGCTTCAGAAGTCACCTTCCACCATAAAGAAACAGTCCATGCCCAGGACAGAAGGAGGCAGGAGTCAGATTTGTTCAACTTTGATTTTCTGTCTTGGCCCTTGGGTAAGTGCACGATTGAGAAATTCTGCTCTGAAATTTCCCTGTGTGTCAGCAGACCTCCGCTAATCAGGCTACGCGTGTCGCTTCTGTTCGTCACACGTCTCCAGCTGAAAGGGATGAGGCTGAGATGCTGAGTTTCATTATTAAGGAGAAAATAGAGGACTCATCTGAGGAGGGACCTTTGGGACACGCTTCCAAACAGGTAAACCTTCACTGGCTTTCTCTATGCGTTTAGGCAGGGCTGCTGTGTGCACAGATGGATTACATGTGATAGGTCCAGCAGAATGGAGGGATACTTTTGTTTGGTGTCCTCAGTCTCAATTCCTGACAATAAATATTGAATCACATGAAATAAGTTGCTACTTCATGTTGTGCTATAACTAGTTGTGTACTTTGTGTTTTAGGCTCTAGGATCAAAGATTTGCAGCTGAAGGAAAAATTAGGGGTGTTAAATCCAACCTGAGGCACAGAGAGTGAAGGGATTGCCTCAGGGTGACAAATCTGGTCAGAGTCTGAGGCAGGATTTGAACTCAGACCTTCATACTTCCAAGTCCAGAGTCCTATGCATTATATCATGCTATCTCTCCTGTTTCTATCAAGAAAGACAAAACAAATTTTTGCAAGATAGAAAGTATGCCAGTGGGGAATGTATTTAATTCAATTGAGCAAACATTGAGGTTCTTCCTGAACTTAGGAACCTGTCTATGTTGGCATCTCTAAGGTTCTACCATAGCAGGGGCATGCTGGAGCTGGCTCTTATCAATTCCAGAGCTGATTGTTATATTTTTAGTGTGAGCATTTATACCATGGAAATCAGCAAGTATTACAAACCAGGGCTTGATTTATTGTTCTGCTGGTTGTCTAGAATTAGGAAAATGATGGAGAAATGTTAATGATGTAGAATCAACTTAAAAGTGTGTCATATGGTCATTTTTTTCCCAGAGAGCCAGTTGTTAAACATTTACTAGCACACATCTACTTCCAGCTTTCTAGCCAAAGAGTAGCTGTTGACTGGATTTCTTTCTTCACATATAACTGTTTTCCAAAGGCTGATGCCCCAGTGTTATCATACTTGTTCAAAATATCCCCATTAGTTACATTGGGAATGACCAGGGACATACCCATTGACTCTATATTAGGTACAGCTTTTGTTTCTCAATGAGGCTTTAAGAACTACAAAGTAGGGCAACCCCCCCACATAGATTCACTTAGATTATCACTCATTTCCTCAAGCAGGTTTTTTTTTTCTGCTGTTGTTGTTAAACCACTGAATGAAGGAAACAATATTTTGTGGGTAAGGAAGGACTATGTCTTTTTGCTTGGGCTTCATTGTTCCTATTTTCTAAAACTTTCCTTAAGTATTTGACAATGAAAACTTAAAAAAAAATACCCAGGGTAAACTACATGAAGTGGTCATTGGGAGATTTGCAATATGACTGAAGGCAGGAAAGGTGCATTTTGGGAACACAGCCTGGGAAACTCAGTGTAGTGGAAGAGGAAGACTGGATTCAGGGATGAAGGAATGAACTTAGGGATGAGGGCCTGACCTTGGAGAATGATGGTCTGAAATGAAAGAGGGAAGTACTGAGCTTGCGGAAGGAAGATGAACTGGGGGATGAGGGTCTGAACTTCGAGATGAAGGACTGAACTTGGATTCAAAAGCTTTGGATCCAAAGGGTGGCTCTGCCATTTCTAGGGTTCCTGGCTTGCTTCCATGTCACAGCTCCCCAGTAGAGGGAACACTCCTTGAAAGCAGGAAGTCTTCTGTTTTTCACCTCTGACACAAAGTGGGTATTTCAAAAGCCCATAGGATTTTCTAATTAAATGAATTGTTCAATACCTCCTTCCTGTAGTGGGTCTGACTCCCCTCTCTATGAGTCTTCATCATCCAGGGCTGAGCATCTCTGAACATAACTCAACTGGTCCTCAGTTGGCCAACAGTCACTTAGCAAAGGGGCTCTTACCTTCCAGGCCTTTCCACCCTGGTAGGAGGACTTGTGGGAGCAGGGAAGCACTTGCATAGGGAGAGCCCTGCAAAGAGGAAAGTTTCTACTAAAGAGACTCCAATAGTTTGTGGCTAAGGGGCTTAAGATAGGCTGTCTCAGTGACATGTAGTACTGTGGAATAAGCTCTGGATTGGGAGTCAGAAAGCCAGTGTTAAATTCCCCATCTTCCATATACCACTCTCTTCCTAGCCTGGGATCAGCTCTTTACTCTCCCTGAACCCCTCTCACTGCATCTGTAAAAAAAAAAATAGCTAAACCTAGACTAATTATCTATCTCCCAGAAGGCCAGAGTCCTCGGCCTTCAAGCCTAGCTCTGGAGAGGCCTCCTACCTGGGCTTCACCCAACCTCCCATATTATTAGTATGTAGGCCTTTTTTGAAATTACTTTGTGCCTCTTTGAATTTGCTTAACTCTGGAAGTATCACCTTTACGGGCAGGGATTACTTCCTTTTAATTTTTAGAAATGGCTCACATATGTGGGTGCTACCATCATATACAATTCAGTTCGGGGGTTTCTGTTCTCTCCATTTATACTAGTGTAGTGCTGGTGTTATTTGGATCTCTATTTTCCCTTACTTCCCTGTATCAGTTTATATAGATCTTCTCTAAATTCTTCTTAGTCATTTTTTTTCACTGCTTAATAAGATTTCATTATATTCATAGGACACTTTTTCTTTAAAAGTCATTCTCCTATTTATGGGCACCTACATTCTTACCAATTCTTTGCTATTCCAAAAGAGTGTTCTGCAAAGTTTGATGCGTCTGAAACTTTTCTTTTTCTCTTGGACTTACTCAAAATACGTGGCTATCATTCAGATCTCTGGATTTAAGGAGTATGAAAATATTCATTACTTTCTTTGTATGTTTCTGAAATGCTTTCATTTTTTCCTTTTTGTTTTTGCTAGGCAATGGGGTTAAGTGACTTGCCCAGGGTCATGCAGGTAGTAAGTGTCAAGTGTCTGAGGCTGGATTTGGACTCAGGTCCTTCTGACTCCAGGGCCAGTACTCTAACCACTGCTGCATGTAGCTGCCCCCTCCGATATGCTTTCTAAAATGGTTAGACCAGTTCACAGCTCTGCCAGCAGCATGTCTGTGCAGTCAAGCCGCTATAGCATTGACCCTTTAAATCCCTTTTCATCTTTATCAATTTACTGAATATTAGTTAAAACCTTATGATTGTGATGTATATTTCTCTTACAATTAATGATTTAGAATAATATTTCATACACCTTTTAATGATTTTCAATTCCTCCTAAAACTGTCTCTTCTGACCACTGATGTCTTGGAGAATCTTATGGATCTGTGTTAATTGTCTGTATAATTTGGAACTCAGACCTTTATCAGAGAGATTTGATGTTAAGATGAGTACTTTCCCTTAAGATCAGAGAATCGTAGACTTAGAAGTAGAAGGAATATTCAGGGTCATTTAATTCAGCATCTTCACTGACAGAGGAAGACACTTAGGCACAAAGAGCTAAAATGACTTGCTCAAGGTCAAATGTTTTGTACATTTCTTTTTAATAAGTTTTTATTGGTATTTTCTATTTCTTGCATCACCATAATTGCCCCAAAGGAGTGACAAGTTGTATATAATAGATCTGCGGTTTCATGCGCAATCATCTTTTTTTTTTATTATGCTGTGTTATGGAAATGCTTGTTTTGTCTCATAGATTAAAAATACAATAAATTTAAAAATTAAAAGAGCCATCTCATATAACAAATAGTATTTCTAATGAGGACAAAAATCAACATAAACAATCCATACATTGAAAAACCTGTGCAGTGTGTAACCCCTGTGGACCTCCCCCTTCCACAGAGGGGTGGATTGGGGGGTATCTTCTCATATGTCTTCATCTGAATCCTGCTAGATCTTTATAAGGATAGTTAGGTTTTGCAGGGTATGGAGTTGCAGGCCTGGAGTCAGTAGGGTTTAAGTTCAAATCTGGCCTCAGACACTTACTAGCTGTGTGACTCTGGGCAAGTCACTTAACCCTGTTTGCCTCAGTTTCTTCACCTGTAAAATGAGCTGCAGAAGGAAATGGCAAACCACTCTGCTATCTTTGCCAAGAAAACCCCAAAACGGGGTCATGAAGAATGGGAAATGACTGAACAACAAGGACCTTTATAAATTTGTTACATTTCCTTTCGATTTTTTGGCTTGTAGCTGTTCATTCCATTTCCATTATTGTCATTTTTGTTTTCTTGGCTCTGCATCAGTTCGTAGAGATCTTTCCATGCTTCTCCATACCACTGTATTCATCTTTACCTCTTTTAACTATGACAAGATATTTACACACAATGGGGGCAGCTGGGTGGTATAGCAGACAGAACACCAGTCAAAGAGTCAAGAAAACCTGGGGCAAATCCTGACTCAGACATTTCATAGCTGGGTGCCACTAGGCAAATCACTTTACCTCCGTCTCAGTTTCCTCATCTGTAAAATGGGGATAATAATAGCACCTATGAGGATCAAATGAGGTAATATTGATAAATTGCTTTGTACATCATGAAAGCTAATTTACAGTAATAATAATAGATGCTAGTTGTTAATTTGTAATTTAAACAATAATGGTGGCTATTATTGCAATTATTATTCTGTTCATATCATTTCCCCTAGTGGAATGTCAGCTCCTGGAGATAAAGGACTGTTTCCTTTTTGTCTCAAAATCTCTCATTTATAATTAGTTCTGCTAACACACAGCCCACATCATTAGAACATGCATCCAGGATGTTTTATTTTTAAAAATGTTTTTAAAGACATTTATTGAAGACTTAATCATAAAGAACTTTATTTCATTCATTGAACTAAAGAAACCAAAACTGAGGTAAACTTATTTTTAAATTAATAACTAAATTTTACTTTTAAAATGCAAACAAAATGCAACACACTCTTTTTGCATGTGTGTGCATGTGAGACATATGTGTGTGTGTGTGTGGGACATAAGGGCATCAGTATGCTGCTAACTGTACCCGGCTCACACTTTGAAGTTGAATATGCATTATTAAAGTTTTCTCTGTCACTTCCTTAAGTTTAGACAATCAATAAACCAAGCAGTTAAGCCTTGATTTGTAACATTTGCTGATTTCTCAGGTCACACAGGAATTTCCCAATTAGTTCTTGAGAGCCAGTTATAGCTGCTCCAGTGTGCTCCTGCATTCGGATGTTGCTCAGCATACCCAGCACACCCACCTATAT